TTTACTGCCATAATGCACTCACATACAGCTCACGCCCGCCCCCCCCCCCCTCCCCCACACTAATACATTCATCTACATGTAAATCTCCCCCCAACCCCCCCCCCCACCACCACCACCACCACCACCACCACCACCACCACCACCACCACCACCACCACCTCCCCCAACCCCCCACCTCCAGTACATGTACATGTACCTCATGCCTTCACCTCCCATATCTATCTGTCCACATGTATAATATATGCATTCACCTCCCCCCCCCCCCCCCCATTCCTTCACCTCCCCCCCCCTTCCGAATGCATTTACCCCCCTTGCCCCATGCATTCACCCCCCCCCCCCTTGCCCCATGCATTCACCCGCCCCCCTTGCCCCATGCATCCACCCTTGCCCCATGCATTCACCCCCCCCCCCTTGCCCCATGCATTCACCCCCCCCCCCCCCCTTGCCCCATGCATTCACCCCCCTTGCCCCATGCATTGACATCCTCCCCCACCCCACCCCCACTCTACACTTCAAAGTTTTGAATGGAGGATATTGGTTTGCACTGTTTGGTCTTGTTTTTTTTCAGATTCTTTGCTTCGCTATTCCTCTACCTATCCATCGGCGTAATCTACATGCACGCGGCTAAGGAAGCTGTAGGCATGCAGAAAATTCCAAATTACGCCTTTTGGAGCACACTGCCCGGTTATATCAAGGTAAGCGTCCGGCATGTTAGTGTGTGTGTGTGTGTGTGTGTGTGTGTGTGTGTGTGTGTTTCTCTCTCTTCTCTTCTCTCTTCTTGTCGTTGTCTCCCGCTTCTGGGAGCGGCGTGGCCCGATAGGGTAGCTGTACATAGTAGTAGTAGTAGTAGTAGTAGTAGTAGTAGTAGTAGTAGTAGTGTGTGTGTGTGTGTGTGTGTGTGTGTGTGTGTGTGTGTGTGTGTGTGTGTGTACGGGGATATTGTGTGTATGTGTGGAGGAGGTGGTGCGTGTGTGTGTGCGTGTGTATGTGTGCGTGTGTGTGCTGTGTGTGTGCATGTGAGTACAGTCAGGCTACCTCTAATTCGAATACGGTATAATTATTTCAAACATTCCGTGTACATGTAATTCGAACTTTTTCGTCGTGCCGATCTCCTGCAAGTCACTTCAAGTCAAATTTGAATGCGTAACGAAGTACGAAAAGTGCGCCCGCTGGATAATTCGAACTCTGTCTTCGAACTTAAGAGCAGATTACAGTTTAGTGCCTATGTCCTTCGAACGCTTATTTCGAAATGAGATAGAGTTGCTATACTTGTATTTCGAAGTTCATTCTTTCCTTCTTCTGTAACCGAGAGTAGCTCAAAAATCGATCCCTGGTCCACTCCAGGATCGATAATAGCGATAAAGAAACCCACCTCTCGAAATTTGATTCAAGCCCGTGCGAGGCAAAGTGCAAAAATATTAATTGACGACTTCTTCCAGGTGGCTGACTACTAGTCAATTCGCGGATCTCAGTGGCCTTTCCTGCCGCGCCAGCTCGTGCGCAGAGTTGCTTGCGAGCAACCACACTGGAAGTCGTGAAAAATTAGTATGCCTATGCTCCACTTCCGTTCTTCAGAACGACGTGCTGCTCCGAGTTCCGTGATGATCGTGACTACGTGAAACTCGGAGTTGCAATACATGTCAGCTTCTCCCTCTTTCTCTCTCTCTCTCTCCTCCTCCTCCTCCTCCTCCTCCTCCTCCTCTCTCTCTCTCGCTCTCTCTCTCTCTCTCTCTCTCTCTTTTGTGTAAGATTGAGGTATCGAGAGATTTGTTAAGAATAAACACATATTGCAGCGTCATCATTAAATTTTGTTGTACTGTTTGTTTATGTTTGTTTGCAGGCCGGCCTAGGCTTGATCTTCCCATGCTGCGGTAGCACAAGCAAGGAAGGTTACTCAGACATAGACGGAAAGTGATCTGGTGAAGGGTGGTCACAAGAACTGCAGAGGATTCGCCAAACGGCCGTGCCGTCCAGCTTGTGTCGACGGCAACACTAAAGAACGTACTAACCCTTCCACCGGTATTTTTTCTTGTCTCGTTTACAGTTTAAAATTGTGCGAGAGTTTACGGTAAACCCGGGGAAATTCAGTAAAATTTCGTGGCTGATGTGCTGGCAACGGTACTGAATTTTCAATATTTAATCTTCAATTCTGGCCAACTTACTAGAAACCTGTGTTGATTGCATACAGTCGTGTTGCCTGTTGCTATACTAGCTATGGAGTAGAAACTCCGACATGTTTATCATTCCAATAAACCTGCTGAAAGTATATTTTGTGCGGGTTTTGAGATTTTTACGTGCTATCCCTGGTGACAGAAATGGATCTGCTCTCTATCGGCATTTTTTTAAGCACAGTGCATGCAGTCAAAGCGGCGTTGAGCTTTACTGAAATAATATATTATTATACATGTGTGCGGAGCATTTCTTTGTTGCTACCTTTGCTCTGTGATGTCGGCTATACGGTGCGGAAGTTGGCAAACAAGTTTTTTGGCATATCCCTTTATTATACATTGCAAATCTAAGGCTGTGATCGTTTGCTCGGATCCAGATCCAGATCCGTCGGATCCACTGGATCTGCAGTGATCGATTGGTCGAATCCGTATCTGGATACTTCGGATTTGGATCCGAGCAACCCTGCCCCGGGAGCAGGGTTGACTGCATCCATCGGATCCAAATGTGACCTTGGTGCTTACATGTATATGGGGGATGGGTAAAAATCATTTTTGTACTCCTTGTTGTACGACTAGTCGACTTTTGTTGACTTTTCGTACGACGTGCGCGATCAGTACGACTTTCACCCTTTTGGGTGACCTGTCAGCGCCATTTTTTACTTTCGTCATCATGGAAACAGCCAAAGTCCGAGAAAAAGTGATCGGTTGATTCTGAAGGATCCGACGGATCTGAGATTTGCACCTGGCTCCGGATCCGACCAAACCATCATAGCCTAATATCGTATAAATTCCAGAATTATTCTATTGTAAAACTGCTCAAATCCCTATGAAATTAAAAAGGAGGGGGGGGGGTTTGTCAACTGACAACCGCTCTATTTAGTTGCTATTCACTCTTTAGATGAAAATTCTTTTATTAATGATGTTGAAATATTATTGACGTTTGACGTATCCCTATGGGATAGACAAAATGGCAATGTGAATTGTGTTTGGTTGTCAGTTGGGCTGCTCCCGTGCCCACAGAGTGCACGCTACAGTAAAACCTGTAACTAAAAACCACCGTGACTAGCGACCAGCCTGGTACTACAGTAAAACCTGTAACTAAAGACCACCGTGACTAGCGACCAGCCTGGTACTACAGTAAAACCTGTAACTAAAGACCACCGTGACTAGCGACCAGCCTGCTACTACAGTAAAACCTGTAACTAAAGACCACCGTGACTAGCGACCAGCCTGGTACTACAGTAAAACCTGTAACTAAAGACCACCGTGACTAGCGACCAGCCTGGTACTACAGTAAAACCTGTAACTAAAGACCACCGTGACTAGCGACCAGCCTGGTACTACAGTAAAACCTGTAACTAAAGACCACCGTGACTAGCGACCAGCCTGGTACTACAGTAAAACCTGTAACTAAAGACCACCGTGACTAGCGACCAGCCTGGTACTACAGTAAAACCTGTAACTAAAGACCACCGTGACTAGCGACCAGCCTGGTACAACAGTAAAACCTGTAACTAAAGACCACCGTGACTAGCGACCAGCCTGGTACTACAGTAAAACCTGTAACTAAAAACCACCGTGACTAGCGACCAGCCTGGTACTACAGTAAAACCTGTAACTAAAGACCACCGTGACTAGCGACCAGCCTGCTACTACAGTAAAACCTGTAACTAAAGACCACCGTGACTAGCGACCAGCCTGCTACTACAGTAAAACCTGTAACTAAAGACCACCGTGACTAGCGACCAGCCTGGTACTACAGTAAAACCTGTAACTAAAAACCACCGTGACTAGCGACCAGCCTGGTACTACAGTAAAACCTGTAACTAAAGACCACCGTGACTAGCGACCAGCCTGGTACTACAGTAAAACCTGTAACTAAAGACCACCGTGACTAGCGACCAGCCTGCTACTACAGTAAAACCTGTAACTAAAGACCACCGTGACTAGCGACCAGCCTGGTACTACAGTAAAACCTGTAACTAAAGACCACCGTGACTAGCGACCAGCCTGGTACTACAGTAAAACCTGTAACTAAAGACCACCGTGACTAGCGACCAGCCTGCTACTACAGTAAAACCTGTAACTAAAGACCACCGTGACTAGCGACCAGCCTGGTACTACAGTAAAACCTGTAACTAAAAACCACCGTGACTAGCGACCAGCCTGGTACTACAGTAAAACCTGTAACTAAGGACCACCGTGACTAGCGACCAGCCTGCTACTACAGTAAAACCTGTAACTAAAGACCACCGTGACTAGCGACCAGCCTGCTACTACAGTAAAACCTGTAACTAAAGACCACCGTGACTAGCGACCAGCCTGGTACTACAGTAAAACCTGTAACTAAAAACCACCGTGACTAGCGACCAGCCTGGTACTACAGTAAAACCTGTAACTAAAGACCACCGTGACTAGCGACCAGCCTGGTACTACAGTAAAACCTGTAACTAAAGACCACCGTGACTAGCGACCAGCCTGCTACTACAGTAAAACCTGTAACTAAAGACCACCGTGACTAGCGACCAGCCTGGTACTACAGTAAAACCTGTAACTAAAAACCACCGTGACTAGCGACCAGCCTGGTACTACAGTAAAACCTGTAACTAAAGACCACCATGACTAGCGACCAGCCTGGTACTACAGTAAAACCTGTAACTAAAGACCACCATGACTAGCGACCAGCCTGGTACTACAGTAAAACCTGTAACTAAAGCCCACCGTGACTAGCGACCAGCCTGGTACTACAGTAAAACCTGTAACTAAAGACCACCGTGACTAGCGACCAGCCTGGTACTACAGTAAAACCTGTAACTAAAGACCACCATGACTAGCGACCAGCCTGGTACTACAGTAAAACCTGTAACTAAAGACCACCGTGACTAGCGACCAGCCTGGTACTACAGTAAAACCTGTAACTAAAGACCACCGTGACTAGCGACCAGCCTGGTACTACAGTAAAACCTGTAACTAAAGACCACCGTGACTAGCGACCAGCCTGGTACTACAGTAAAACCTGTAACTAAAGACCACCGTGACTAGCGACCAGCCTGGTACTACAGTAAAACCTGTAACTAAAGACCACCGTGACTAGCGACCAGCCTGGTACTACAGTAAAACCTGTAACTAAAGACCACCGTGACTAGCGACCAGCCTGGTACTACAGTAAAACCTGTAACTAAAGACCACCGCGACTAGCGACCAGCCTGGTACTACAGTAAAACCTGTAACTAAAGACCACCGTGACTAGCGACCAGCCTGAGTACAGCAGACCACTTTGCCAGGCCCGGGCGGTCTCACATTCATGTACATGTATGGTTGTGCGGTGCAAACCTGTAGCTAAGGACCACCTGCCACTAAAGACCGCTTTCTCTGGCCCCAAGGCCAAGGGGTGGTCGTTAATAGCAGGTTTTACAGTATAGGATTGTACCATGAATACTCACTACTCGGCTTGAGTGAAGGTAAAACGGATGCAGCTAACGAGGTTCAGTGTGAGGTTTACCACCTCACCCTCGCCGCTAGGCGCTGCATCTGCCACCCTGGCACACAGTCAACTTCGCGTATACAATGGTGTAACGACACTCGGCGGGGAATCAGAAAAAGTGTCGAAGTCCCATTGCAGGTGTTACAGTTAGTTGGGACTTTGCTCTGGGCATGGAAATTCTGTCGTTATTCACGAAGTGGCGTTTTATCCGCAGTCGTTATTAGCGAAGTTGACTGTCCCAGTAATGGAGGCGGTCTGACCGTGAGAAGCGAAACATCCTCACTACCTGGTTATGTTCTTCAACACAATTGAATTGTGTAGCCGGTGGTAACGCCAACTTGTGGACTTTACTTTTGATTTTTACACTATTTCTCGTCTGACCCGTCCACCTCTCCACAGTGCGCCCTTGGCCCACACTCTTTGGGCGTGCCACTTTTCTATGTAGAAAGTCCGCAGTTAGTTGTGCCACCTTTTATACCTTATAATTATACTCATTCCTTTATCCGGATAAAGAGCCAAGGATTATTTACAAAAAGTAAAATAGGACCAAGGAACTACGTGTTACACTGTACTAGGTCATACATGTACATAATGATAAATAATCATTGCACGACACTGACCGACGGTACTGACGTTCTACAACTAACTGGCTAACAGCTCTAGCACATCTTGGATGCGCACTCCAACAGCCTCCCAACTACTTGGAAGGTTCTAAGTTATAGAAATAACATAAGGAGGGGAAGGTGAGTGCAACCAAGATAAGCACGAGCTGAAAGTCTCAGCTGTGAAGGACGTTGGCGGATGTTCATGCATGTCGATGACGATACTAGCAAGACCATTGGACTATACGGTCAAACCACGATTCAAGAACGCAAAGCAACATTCCACACAACTTGTGTGGCTCAAAAGATGCCAAGATCAATAAAAGGGGAAGCTATGCGAACAAGAATCATGAAAACCAATACTGGTCCAGATTTCTCATTACTGTTTTCTGATGATCGCTTAGTGCCTGAAGCTCGGAGTAAAAACACTTTCTCTGTCCTCCTATTGTTTGTACCTTGCATAGAGAGATGGCTGGAGGGTGGTAGGGGCGTAGGCAGGGGGGAGGGGATTGCTTTGGGCCAAAGCACCCCCTCGAAAACCTCAATCATGGTTCGCAGCTGGTTCGAGAGAGATCATAATAATTATGGGTAAGCGGATTATGCTCGGAAAATAGGCATTGGCGGATAATGCTCGAAAAGGTGGCAGATTCTGCTCGAAAAGGTGGCAGGTTCTGCTCGAAAAGCAGTGAAATTGGCAGAACCATACAAACCTTACGGCGGGCGATTCCTCGAATTGTTTGTTTGTTTGTTTATTTTATTTTACTTCACCAAGTGAACAGGCATTTCTGCCTTCTCACCAGGTCCGGAGACCTACATATAGGCTGCGTTCGTTTTTAGCTACCTGGTAGAGGAGAGTAGAGTCACTCTACCAAGAGTACATAATCACCAGGGGTTATGTACTCTTGACTCTACCGATAGAGGAAGATAGTAGAGGCAAATGCACGATATGTACGTGAAATGTTTCTCCTCTGTATGGAGTTGTGTACAAATCCTTGATCTTGCTGGAAATCCCGTAGCTCTACCAACTTCTACCGGATTCTACCAACTTTTTTCGGGTAGAGCCGGTAGAGGAACGTAGAATCTACCCTTTTGAGTAGAATTTTTTTCAAAAAACGAACACCTCTACCGAAACAAGTAGTTTCTACCCAAACCTATAGATCAAAAACGAACGCCCCCCCCCCCCCCCTAGTTCCGACAAAATGATGAAGAGTGAATGAAAATGTATGCATAAAATGATTAAAATCAT